CAGGAAGGGAGAGAGATGGGACTTAATGGGAAAACAACAGACACTGCAAGCCTGGGCAGAACTGCTTGGGGAGTGAGCCCATATTAGGGCTGAGGCTAAGTGGAGGTCTCTCTAGGGTCTCTCCAGGTAGATGTCTTTGTGACTGGGGCTCCATTCCTGCATCTGTGGAGCTGCGAATAAGAAAATCAATGGACAGCATCCCAAAGATCTAGAGTTCATAATGATCAAAGGGGAGTGGAAAATGATAAAGGAATGTTTGTTCTTCTGAATAATCTAGAACATGTTCTTTAGTTGTGGCATGGTAAATGGAGGAATGGACCTAGAGTCCCCTGGTCCTGGTTTGAATTTTGGCTTTAGTAAAAACAATATTGCCTCAGTTTCTCCATCAGTAAATGGAGATGATACCTTTATCCTGTAGTTACTATGAGGATTAATTAATTCAATAAATTTTATTGAATATCAACTAAGTCGTAGGCCAGTTGCTGGTATAAAGAACTTAGCACAGTATTCAATGAATAGCAGTCATCATAAAAATGCAAAGCACATAACCGCGCACATCAATGTTGGGAACTATATAACAGAGCTTAATGTGATTAGTATTTTTTCCATCTAATTCTTCCACTAGATTGTAAGTTACATGAAGGCAGGGTCTGATCTAGCTTGTTCACACAGTCTGAAGCATAAGAGAAGCTCAACACATACTGGTTACAGTGAATGACTAAATAAATAACCACTCTAATTGTTAGATACCTGGGAAAGGGAAGAAAAGAGAGGGGGGATGAGGGGTCAGGTCTTGCACAAACTATCTTTTGATCCTTCACTTCCTCCAAGTACTGTCTGGACACTGCACATAGTCCTAGCTGAGCCAATTCCCAGAATTCTCATATTTGGTTGTATTTAATTTCATATTCTGTCTTAGAGTGAAAGTTCACAGATAAAATGATCTGCAGCAGACTGTTCTCAAGTGCCTTTATTCTAGAAAGTACAACAAATGCTCACATTCTGCATCTAATTAGGCGTATACTTCTTTTAGCCTTACTTAGTTGAAACAAAAGTTATCAGTAGGAAAATGAGAAACCCCATGGAGATTTAGAAATCTTCAGAAGTTCAACTTAACTAAAGAATGCAGGAACATTCCCAAGAGACTCCATTCCATTTGGGAGGGAGGAAGAAAATGACTCATTTCAAATCTGCCATGCAAGCTTACAACTCCTTGTAAAATGGAAAGTTATTCTCAGTATCTATCTATCTTGCCATCCATCCATATACCTACCTATTCTACCTACTTTCCTATCTGTACATCTACACACTGTATATCATGTACACATGATATATGTACACTGTGTATATACATCTTATATCATGTACACATATGTATGTATATGATACATACACTCACATACATATAAATCATGGAGGTTAGGACTGGCTATAGGTTTGAGTCCTGGGTTCACTTCTTATTAACCATGTGGTTTTGGAAAGTTATCCAACATCTCTAAATCTCAGTTTTCTTTTCTTGGGTAGAATAAAACCCAGTGTATAGGGTTATAGAATTACTACACATGAGGTCAAGCATAGAAAACTTATCATCTTTGGCTTATTGTAAGCACTCAATAAATAGTAACTGCTGTTTAATATTGTTATTACATAGTCCAAATTGTATAATTTACATAATATATAAAATATGCTATATTCTATAGTCTAAGTTATATAATTTCTATCCAATCTTGGCACTATTGACATTTTGGGCTGGATAATTCTTTGTGTGAGTTTCTCTATGCATTCTGAGGTATTTAGCAGCAACCCTGGCCTCTAACCAATAGATGCCAGTAGCACTCCCTCAACCCCACCGAGCTGTGGTGCCCAGACCCTGTCAAGTGTTCCCTGGAAGGCAAACCTTCCCATTTGCAAACCACTGGTATAGAACAAGGAGCAGCGAGTGGCCCGAGAGATAGGAGACATGGTTCCTATTAACCAATTTGTGATCTTAGGTAAGTCCAACCACTTCCCTGGGCCCTGGTTTTCTCATATACAGTAAAATAGAACAGGAAATTCCTACTTTATCTTTCATGATTTTTCTAAGGATGAAATGAAAAAAATCAAATGCTCTAAAGAAGTGTTATAAAAGTAGGATTCTGTTATGATTATTTTTTTAGAGGTGGATATTGAAGGGCAATTACTAGAAGCCTTGTCTTGGGACAACAGCTGATGCCCACCCGCTCTGTTCTTTAATATTTAGACTGGGGAGCCACTGGCCTCTCAGCAGCTTCCTACTGATCACATGTCAAGCATTCCTTGTCCCTTTAATGGATATATTTGTGGCTTAGTCTAAAGAATTTGAGAGAAATTATTTTCTTTCAAAATGAAATAAAAATATTATTTTTGAAGAAACTATTATTGTGGGTGGTGAAACCGTCCTGTCATCTCCATATTCAATTTTCATCTAAGTCTCTCTCTCACATGACTATAATTAACAAATCCTCATACTTTTAGGCTGTGTTCTCTGTAGATTGATATTCAGAAAGAAATATTCTGAGGGACTCCAACATCAATATGCTGATACAATAATATATTAAGTAATACTATGCTGGATTTCTTCATCAGTAAAGGAAAACTTTTTGATGTCATATCATATTATGGGGATCAGTATATTGGCCACCAGTATATTGTTGTCATTATTTCACATATTTACAAAATATCTTTAAATGTGAGATAGCAGAGTGCCTGGGAAAAGATTATGAGCTGTGAGTTTGGTCAGAGCTATATGTAGACAGATGAGGGTCCAAGGTCAAATCCCCTTAGTTGTGTGACATAGTACTTCTGAACCTCAGTGGAATACATTAACACCCACCTACAGTGTGGTTATGAATGTTAAGTGGAGATGAGTATGTGAAGCGTGGAACATCGTGCAGATACATGGTGGATGTTTTTGTAGATGGAGGTGATCTTTCTTTCTGTGTCCATAGTCTTAAAGACTGTTAAAGGATTTCTTTCATTCCTTAGAGCTTGTATTGAGTCAGATTGCTTCAGGAAGGCAATTGAAATGAAAAACAAAACTTTTTATGGTATAATTTAGAGTCTTGACTTAAGCCAGTTGTAATAAAGCTTGAATCAGTTTATCAGCAATCTTCCAGTTTATGAGCAAATAAATTGTTTCCCTAATTCTGATGGGCATTAGTTGGAAATGAAGAGTCAGAAGTTACCTAAAGTACAATGGCATTCACCCAGAATGGAGTGAGCAATATATTTCTTCCTTAAAATAATTCATTTGGTCTCCTTAAGGACATGCATCAGTATCCTGAAACAGCACAGTAGAATAACAAGATGAGCCTGGAGTCAGACAGACCTGCCATTCACTAGTGGGGTGACTTTCAGGCTCTCTGAGCTTCAGTTGCTTCATCAGCAACATAGGGTTAATATGCCTGTCACTGTGTCAGGGCGAGTACAGATAAAGCCTGAGAAAACCCCAAGTACTGTGCCTGGCACATGGAAGGTACTCAGCAAGTGTTGCTCTTATCCTAGATCTCTTGCACATCTTTGTACCTTGCCTGGTTTAGAAGAATAGATGGGGCAACTAAGTAAATGATTATAAACCTACATTTTGTTTTTATTCCTTTCCTATTAATGTTGTACATTGCATGTGAGAAAAGTCATAAATTACTAAGTGTGAACCACTTAAAAAATATAGGATAATTTGCTTTAAAGATTTTAGTGATGGCTCTGGAAGACTTTACTTCATAATTGTTCTTTATGCTGCATATGAAGGCATTTTAAAGTCCAGAAACACAAAAGGGGTCTGTCTGATCACCTTCCTTTCAAACTTGGCATGTTTAACCCTCCATAAAACTATTTTGCAGAAGACAATATGGTAACAGGTAACCTGTAAGAATGAAATTGTAGCATAATAGCTTCTCAAATTTTCCTAGAAAAGGTTCTTTTTAATATTTTTATTACTTTTTTCTATGGACTTCTTTAGTGTTCCATAATATTTGTTCTAACTTCTATTGTATCAGACATACCGCATTCTGATTGTAATGTGACTCACATTTTATTTCTCTTTCAACCCCCTGCTCCACAGAGGGCTCTCAAACAATATTTGGTAAAATGAGAGCAAACATTCCTGTCTCTATAAAGACTGTATGCTAATTATAGTAGATTCTTCTTTATATATTGTTATATGATAATTATAATAGATAATATTTATTAAACATTCCCTATCTTCCAGAAACATCATAGGGTTTTTTGGTTAACAAATCATTTATTTTCACAATAAACCCTACGTGTATATCATTATTATCTCTAGCACACTGTGGTGGCTTCCTAGAAGTAACACCCTGACTCTCCAACCAGGCCTGGGAAACCCAGCTGACAATATCCATGAGAACGGGGACTAGGAAGGTGATCAGTTTCAAAATAGTCCCCAACTCCAGGTTTCACCAACATTGTCATTCTCTGTTTCTTACCCTCCAAACATTTTCTAGAAAAAGGAACACATTAATTCAGGAATTTGACTTTCTTTCTATACTTCTGCAGTATAAAAAGATAAGAACAAGGACACAGTTTATGCACAGACTTCCCTATATGACTGAGTAATGGCTATAGATTCATCCTACCTTGTAGGTGTTCTCAGGGACACAGGGAAACAGTTCTTTTTCTGTTTCCAATACACCATGCACTTGGCCATGGACCACTGTTGGGTAATGTCTTTTCCTACATGAATTATTGTGGTAAGCATTTCACCTGTGTCTCTGGGAGATGGTGCCTCTTACACCTGCTGATACAATGGCTGCAGTACAAAAGCAGTTTATACCTTAAGAGTGTGCTTTGGTGCACTAAAAGGTGTTTTATGTAGAAATAGCAAGGTTTATCTGTCCTAGAAGCATAATTTGAAATGAAACAGACACTATCCATCTCCTTTGCCCCCTGAAATAATTCTCCTAAGGGAAGGGGTGTGGGGTGAGGACCTTTTAAAGGAGACTGAATACATTAAAGGCATTTACCACATGCTGGGATGTCACACAGGTCAGACTTAAAGTTTTCATCCAAGGTGAAGCACCAGGGAGCCTCCTTCTGATTCCCCGGGTTTCGGCAGTAGGAATGTCCTCCGCTCAGCTCTGGGAAGCGGAGGCCGGTGAAGGTGTGCGTGTGTGGATACTGAGAATTCCACGGCTGGCACTGGCGCCCCGATTTGGTCACACTGACGGTACCCCGGTAGTCTACACCTGTGCTGTTATAGCATTTGTGATCTGAAGAACACAAAAGAATAGCCCAAACTATGAGAACGAAATCGAGGAGCTGCCAGAGCTCCCAGGCAGCGGTTTCTGGAGGGAGGACTGCGATTGACCTCATGGCCAAGGGTTCCCTGCGGATCGGGGCCATGGGGGCAGCCTCCCTGCTTGCTTGGCTGGGACACAGGGCCTGCCTGGCAGTTACATTCCTGGGAGGATTTAAAGCCTGTGCTTCAGGAATAAAGCCAGTCCTCCACAAGTATTTTTAATACTGATCACAGAAAAAAATCATGACTGGGGCAAGACCTGAGGGCACAGGAGTAATTTCCTAGTGAATGGTTCAGGGAAGGTTCAGGCTAAATGGTTCTTTCCATTTCTGTCTGATGGCCTTAGACATGAATCATGTGATGAAGAATCTTGTTCACAGGAAATATTTATTAAGGGCAGTGAGTTACGGGTTTCTCACAGGAGTCCAGGCCATCTCTGTGCTAATGGACTGGACACCCTTGAGGGGCAGGTCCTAGTAAGTGCTTCTCCCAGGTGAACACAGGGGCTGTTACTTGAATGCACTGCAGAACTCCGAGTTGAAACAAATGGAAATTTGGAGGGGTAATGATAAGTTGATAGTAATAATAGTAATAATGATATTGCTATTATTTTGTGCTAAGCATCGTTCTAAGCATTGTAGATGCATTAGCTTATTTAACTAATAAAATAGTATTAACTACCACAGGAAAACTAAAAAATTACCGATGAGTTTAATTCTAGATGAATGGGAAATGTACAGAGTAACAGTTTTTTGTTTTTGTTTTTTTTGGTGGTGATGAGAAAATACAGGATGGAGGAGGCAAGCCCCTATATACAGTATATATTTTTAAGTTTCAGTACAATATACATTACATTTACCATTAGTGCATTTAGAACATTTAAAATATTATTCAACCTTCATCACTATCTCATTCCAGAACACTTACATCATCCCAAAAGGAAACCCTATATTTATTAAGCAAAGCAGTCACTCCCCACTCCCCATTCCCTGGCAACAACTAATCTGCTTTCTGTCTCTATGGATTTGCCTTTTCTGGATATTTTGTATAAATGGAATCATACAGTGGTGTCTGGCTTCTTTCACTATCATAATATTTTCAAGGTCTAGCCATGTTACTGCATGTAACAGGATTTTATTCCTTCTTATGGTTGAATAATTCATTATGTGGATATACCACAATTTGTTCATTCACTAATTCATTGATGGACATTTGGGTTATTTCCACCTTTTAGCTATTGTGACTTGAGCTGTTATGAACACTTATATGCACAAGTTTTTGTTTGAACACTTTTAATTCTTCTGAGTACAAACCCAGATGTGGCATTGCTGGGTCATATGGTAACTCTTGTAATGTCATGAGGAACCAGCAACCATATTTTTTAATTACTATGTTCATGAAGCTTCTTGAAAGTAGGCACTGCATCTAATCCACCACTGAAGGCTAACCACTCACATGGTATTTTACTGGAAGGTAATCCAACCACCGATATGAATCATTACTGTGCATTAAGGTCCAGTTTTCACTATGCCATGGGGTTGCTGCCCCGAAGGCAGTACAGAAGGTCAGGGGCTACCACCTACTTTTATTTATAGGATCCGCCATGGGAATTCCAATCCGGATACAGTTTGCAGCTTCGGGGCTTTCTGGCTGGGGGAGATCTTCACAGTTTGGCAGTTTCAGCCTCATCAGAATCATGGGATTAGATCTTGCAAAAATGTACTCGGTCTGACACAGGACGTTTTCCAGGATTTCACATTCATCGCGACACAAGTCACGAGGCTTTGGGATGGATGAGGTTTCGTCACAGTATGGGAAGGCATAGTGGCACAGGGATGGAATGGCAAACTGAGAACATTTATCAGATAAGTGACTGGAGGTGCCAATCATGGTGAAGGCAGCTGGAAAACAAACACAATTATTAACTCCCAGGGGCCAGGGTTTATCTCCTCTGGTTATCTAGTCAACAGATACCAGATATGAGCATGCATTGGAAGGAATCTGCTGTGCTCAAATAGACAAGGCCAAGAGAAGGAGATTCATTTCAGATGTCTAAGCAGCTTACTTTCACTGGCTTGAAAAAAATCATTTTGACTACAAAGTTAGAAAAACAGGATTAAGTTACACATGTACCATTTCCTAATAAAAAGAATTAATTAGGTTAAAGTACAATATATTTTTCATTTTTACTACAAAGCAACAGAACTTTGTTTCATCCGGTACTTTTTATTAGTTTTTTGAGGCTTCTAAAACATTTGACAGCTGCAGGGCAGAACTTGCTTTATGCAGTGGTTGAGCCTGATCACAGGACTGAGTTCTATGCTTTGCCTCTGAGTTGCTGGATGACTTTGGGTAACTTGTTTAATTTCTGTGCGGTCTGAATACATTCTATTCCATCTTCTGAAAAATGAGGCAATTTACTTGGAAGTTCTTAAAGAGCACAATGCACTTGTTCCATTGTGTACATGGAATATTTATTAGTGGTTGCCTAACCTCTTATCCAGCATGGTATTCATATACAAAAACGGCACCAGCCTTCCTTGTATACCTCCTCTGACAAAGAGCTTCAGCCTAACAAGACAGCCTAGAAGGCTGCTTGCAATTGGTACACTGTTTCCCAAAGTATTTTCCTCAGAACATTAACTCTATAGAATATTAATAGTGTTTAAGAAACTAGGGTTCTATAGCCAAACAGGTTTGGGAAACGCTAGGTTTAACAGAGTTACATAGATTTTTTAAACTGTACTATTTTCCAGTAAGCTAATATCCACTGAACATGTCCCAGAGAGGATTATTATAAATGGGTGACCGAATATTCGTATCAGAACTCCCATTTAATTTTGTGACTACGTAATAAAAAGTATGTTAAAACATTCTTTTATTAGGTTGAAATGCACCTTCAACAGCTCCTCCCCATCAGTCCTGCTTCTGACCCCTGGGATTTCCCAGAGGCCTTCCTCCTGAAAGCAGAGAGGAGGCGCCACTTTTGCAGCAAACGGCACCTACATCTTCCTCCACTTGTTTCTCAGGTTAAACAGCGTCCCTGGACACAACTTAGTTCCTTTAAATTCCTCACAGGACATAGTTACAAGATTTTTTGCTGCCCCGTGTGCCTGTCTCAGGTTTGTTCTTACCTTTTTAAAAAAAATCCTAGGGCTGCCAGGTAAATGGTAAGGCACCCAGTTACATGTGAATTTCAGGTTAACATTAGGGCCATACTAATACTAAAAATTATCTGTTGTTTATCTGAAATTCAAATGCATCTGGGTGTTCCGTATTTTTTATTTGCTAAAGCTGGCAACCTTATTAGAATTTCAGAAAGGCCGTTTTAATGGCTTGCAAGGGCATGTGGCTCAGAGGCACGGCGTTCGTGGAAGAGGTATGAAGCTGCTGTAACCACAGAACTAGGTGTCCAGAATCGTCCACTATCTGACTCAAGCGTGCTGGAAAGTACTTCACTATTAGAGTCCCATTTAAAAAATGAGTTTCAATTCAGAAAAATGTAGTTAACAGTAAAATATAGGAAGCAAGATTAGGAAGAGACCTATGATCACCTTGCTGCATCACTCACTTCTCAGATGAAGAGATGACAATCTCTCTGAGCTTAGCCCCCAGAATTCTAGACTCTAAATTCATTCCTTTCCAGTTTACATCATGTTGCTTCCAAAGAGTAAGCTCTGTGAGGGCAGAGATATACATGGCTTATTCACCGCCATATCCTCAGAGCCAGTCAGTTCCCAATGTGCTGAAAACAGTAATAATATTTATGGAGTGTTTGAATGAATGTGTGACTTTTCCAAGCTTCCTTTTTCTCTAAGAGCAACCTTCAATAAAGTATTCTAATATAAATTCCAGAGCACAGAGATCATATCTCATGCTTCTTTGTGGTCGTGCTCCTACTCCCTATGCCTAACCTAATCCTTTGTCAAAAGAAGAGCTCAAGAAAACTTTTGGTGAGGAAAGAAAGTTATTCAAGCTATAAATATAATTTCTTGTTATTCATTGGTGTTACCTACCTGTGATCTGATTTTCTATTTCCCCTTGCATATGCAGAGACTCCATATAGACAGTGCGGTTGCCAATGAATCTTGCACATGCAATGCCTCTGTATGGCTGACAGAATCCATCCTCTTCATACTCATCTCTACAACAAAGTACAGACATTAGCTGATGCAGTACGTTATGTATACAGCCGGCTCTGACTGCGCGATGCCCCACATGGTCACTAGGGGGCGAAGTCAGGCCCAGTATCCTAAAAGACTGGGCTGAGGAATCAGACTTCTCCACGGTTCCATCCATCACTTAAAACATCTGTTGGTCACGTTGGTCAAGTTTCCTACACCCTCAGAAAATCATCCTGAAGCACAAAATCATCCTTAAATATGGGAGAAAGCACTTTTATTTTCGCAGCTGGTGGTGGGCTGGTCAATGATGTGGTTCTAAGAGTAAAGAGGAAATGAGTTGAAAATCTGGGCACATGTTCTACAGTGTTTTGTTTTTAAGCAGATTATTTCTGCTTTATTTGCTCCAAAAGCACGGGCGCTTTATTCACTGATATATCAGTTAGGAGTCTCCAGAGGGTAAGAAGCTGGGTGCAGCTGGAAAGAAACCAGAGGGCAGTTCAGTTATGTGGCTCCTCACTGCTTAAGACCCATTATCTCTATGCTGCAGAGAGAGGCCCATGGCAAACCATGGACTAGCAATTTCAAGTGAGCTACTAAATCCGAGGAAATCTAGACAAAATGTCAATGGACTTACAATCCCCTAGAACTTTAAAAAGTAATCTTTCAAAAACTTTGCTGCCTTAAAATTATAATAATGAACAAAGTGAGGGGGGCTGTTAGATTTTATTCCAAAGAGAAGGGGACACCAGAAAGTGACGTGATAAGTGATAAGTGTAGCAAATGGCTGGAGATCTAAGGCTGTAGATCAGGACCCAAGATGGCAGGTTCAGCTTGAAAGGACAGAGGATGTGACCTCCCACAGGGCCTATGATAAACACAAGACACCATAGTACAGAATATCCAGCTGCTTTTCAAAGGCAGACCACAGCTAAACAAAAGGCTACCTGCCACGCTTCTGGGTGACTTCCACCCTGGATGCTCCTCCCATTAACCCAGCTGGAATCAATGCATCATCTGACAAAATACCACCTTTCCTCTTTTGTATCTTCTAAGTTAAAGAAGCTTAGAGCAAAAGTCAGAACAAAATTCTCTTCCTGGTTTAACATTTGCACATCCTTAGGCAAGCTCTCTTGAGTCCTCTGAGCTATGGTTTGCCTTCTGCAAGAAGATAATAATTGACCTCTCCACCGTGTAAGTGACAGTGGTGAGGATCTTATCAAACAATGTGAAAGCTTTCTTCAAGTGCTACATAGAGGAAACATATGACTATTATTAAAGTAGTTACAGTTACCAAGGAAGACATTTACTTAAATTATTTCCTAAAGCTCCTACTTTGTAAAATCGACTACCATCAGTGCCGTGGCCCTAGGCTTCACCACCTGGGGGCTCAGAGTGGGAGTCTAGAGAGCCCAGTATAACAGGAAACAAGGTGAAAAAAAATCTGATAGAGCTGATAATTAAAAAACTAGTTTTCAGGTGCTTTCTACTCCCTAGTCACTAAAACAGTAATTTTGAAGGTGGAGATGGGGGAAGTATCTTCAGCTTAGTCCCCAAAATAGCATATATTGCAAAGCTCTTTAAAACTTAACCTTTAAGTATACATACAAATGAATATATCATATGCTTGACATAAAGACATTGAAATTTTAATGTTGCAAAATCCTGCAAGCACTCTACATGTTTACTTTCATAAATCCTAGAGTAATGGTGAAGCCTTTTTGGCTTAAATTGTACTTGGGTTGTAAAATTAACCCTACTTTTATTGGGTAACTAATACCATAAACCTATTGGGAGAAAGAAGTTTCTCGATGACCTAGCCTTGGATCTTGGAAACCAAAGTACTGAGACGAGAATACACCCCCATACCACCCCATGCTATTACAGACGATGCTTTTTCTATCCATAGGCATTAGCAGAGCCCCGGACCTTTTCGGTGTCATTATGAGAACACTTCTTCCTCCCCCATATTAAACTCTCAAGGCCTCAATTTATATCTCTTGGGAGGACAAATCCCTGGAATTACCCCCAGATATAAATCCCCAACCTACTGGGAGTTCCCATATTTTATGTGTGAGGCTTAGGCTAAACTTCTTACCACCTTTCCAGTTCAAGACTCTGAATACTTTTTTTTTTCCAGAATAAAGAGTGCAATTCCTTGGCCACATATTTCTTATCAAGGGTGTAGAACTGCAGGTGTATTGACTTTTTGACTATGCCTAGAATTCCTGATAATTGTGGCCAGTCTTTTGGAGACAGATATAAAAACAAAACAAAACAAAATTTAAAAACCAGCATGTTGGGTCACAGGCTAGGGAGTAGTTCTCAGCCCTGGCTGCCTACAAGGATCTCTGTAGGAAGCCTTTGAAAACAGCAGTGCCCAAGCCCCACCTCAGGCCTATTAAATCATATTCTCTGGGGATGCAGCTTAGACATTTATGCTTTTTAAAAGCTCTCATCTGATTTGCACGTGGTTGAGAACCACAGTCCTAGGAAAAAAACATGTATTAGGTGTCTGACACTCTCTGTGCCGAGTTCTCTGCTCAGTGTTTTCTTCAAACTAGCCCCCGTACCTGGTATTACCATCCTTATTTTACAGAGTGAAAAACACAAGTTCAAATTTAAACAACCAGTAAGTGGTGGAACTAGGATTTCAACTTAAAATTTGAGCTTAAGTCATTACACCATGTTGTTAGATCTGTACCAATGTTCTGCTTTTCACTATTACTTTTATTAAACAACCGAATTATAAATAAGAGACTTCATAATGAGTGAACCTTTATTCTGTACCAGGCACCGTTATGTTTCACTCACATATAAAATTGATATTAAGCATTTAATCCTGACAACAATTTGATAAAGAAGGTGAAGGTTTAATTACTTCCATTTTACAGATGAGAAAACTGAAAGTTGGAAAGAGCAAATAACTTGTCCCAAGTTGGATAGCAGGTAGAAAAGCAGGATTTGCCGGAAACAAGTGTTGAGAACCATGGTGTACAGCTTCCTTCCGAATGGTGTGGTGATGGATGTTTTTGCACTGCTTACAGGAGTTTTCTGCTGTGAAAATGCTTTGGTGTCTGCTAGGTGGCAAAAAGGTTTCCTTTTAAACATAAAGTCACCATCTCCTTTCGTCCTTGCCATTTCTTTCTGCTGGTCTTGGCTGGAAGGGAACAAATGGGCCTCCAACATTAGTCAGCTTTATGCTTTTCTGCAGCTACACTTCTTTCATCATTGATATCCTCCATGCTCAGCAAATTAAAAACATGAAGTGGCAAGGCAGCAAAAGCACACAGGCTCTTGCCGTGAGCGTGCCCGAGGCTGAGTTCTATGGGGAAGAAAAGTGCGTCGCGGAAGGGCAAATGGAATTCTGGCCATTCATCACGGGCGCTAGCACGGGCCAGCTACCACACAGCGATGTCAAGATTGAGGGGTGCTTGGTGATGGAAACTCCTCATAAAGGTAATTTAATTCCGACGTCGCCAGACCCTACAACCTTCCAAAGTCACGGTCACGTGATATGGAAAAGCACAGCCTCCCACCTCCAGGATCTCCCCCTTTCCCAGGGGGAGGAGCGTGGAGGGATGGGCACACAGCGCTGGCGGTGCTCCTGACCAGTGTGGCAGCAGCTGGACTATCCACTGGGGCCCTCCCGTAGATCACGAGAGGGAAACTCTACCACTGCAGGGCACACACAGTCTAAGGGAGTTCTACAGTGGCAGTGGAAATCAATAGCTATCAATTCCTGGGCAAACTTCTCAGATCAGTGAGTAAGGAAGAGAACTCTTGGAAAAGAAAAAGAAGCTCCCTGGATAGCATGGGGCAGAGGAAGCCCAGGGTGTTGTTTCTGAGGAGAGAGGAAAGGATGAGAAAGGATAGGTGGGTGGGAGGGGAGGGAGCAGTGAAAAGATGCATAGTACCCCAAAGAGATGCCTAAATGTAGTTGTGCCAAGTGTGGGCCTCGAGAGGCCACTCGCACTCTCTTTAGTGCCTCCAGGGAGGGCAGGGTCTCTGAAGGCTGCTGCAATTTAAGGGCAACAAGAGCAAACTCAACTGTTGTCTTAGACACGTGATTTCAAAAGAAATCCTTAATATTATTGGAAAAACTGGCAAAATTGGCCTGAAGTCTATAGATTAGTTAGTAGTATTGCAGCAGTCTTTATTTCTTACTTTTGATAATAGTACTACATTTATGTAAGAAGTTAACATTAGGGCACAGGATGAGGGGCATATGGAAACTCTCTTTACTATTTTTGCAAGTTTTCTTAAATACAAAAAAAATTTCAAGATAAAAAGTACAAAAAAAAGACCGTGACATCACCACTTATAGGACAGTGGTGGTGGTGTTGGAACCTCACTGTATGTATACAGAAGATGAAAAGGTAAGAGGGTGTTAGAGGGCCCATAGCCGACCTCATTTAATCACTACAACAAACTTAAAGAAAATCCCTCCAGACCTGTCCCCTAGTGGCTGAATCCTCATCACCAACAACTCAATTAACATCGTAACAATTCGATATTTGTTTGAGACTTGGCCTATGTCTAAATTCTAGTACTTGCAGAGAAATGACCTATTTGGTCAAGAACCCCTTAGTATTGATTGACTTTTATCAGCTGCTGTGGGATGGTAAAATAACTTTTATCATTATTGAAAGTTGTATAGCAAGCAAGTCTGTGGCAAGTGATGAGAGGTCCATATGTGAAACTGACAGCAATCTTCCTTGACTTTACACTTGAGTCCAGGACCAGCCTCATGCCAGGATGACAGAAGAGGCTGACAGGGAGGATGGGGGAGGCATTAACAGGGGGTATCTCGCTCATCCACTTCATCATTCACTTTGCCACCAAGTGATCTTTTCAAAACACCAACTTGATCTGGTCATTTCCTGCCTAAAATTCACTGTAGTTTCCCATTCACTTCAGTTTCCTGCCTGCAGCACAGAAAGCTCTTCATCAACTATTTCCTGCCAATTTTTCCAGCTTCATTCTCTGCTAGTCAAGCCTATGAAACGACAATACCAGCCAG